AGGCTCGCCAGGTCTGCTAGGAAACACATTGAACACTTTCATCTAGATGAAGGGTTTCCCGTCTGCCTGTTTCTTTCTCTTGCGAGAGGGGAAAAGATTTAGAGGTTTGTCACCCACATATTTTGCAGTCTCCCCTTCCCCTCCCTCTCTTTTTTTTTTTTTCCAGTTTAAATGCACACAGCATTAAATAAAATTTAATGCAGCGTAAAAAAAAAAAAATAGTTTCCACGTACAGAGTTATTTATACTCAACAAACAGGACATCTGTTTTTCTTTTCAAAAATCTGGGGTTTGAAGTTCTTAATTTCATCCAGAGTCTCTATCAAAGCTCCGAGATTTCTTTTTTGTTCTTGGAGAGCGATCCTTACAGTGAACCACAAAGAAAGTTGGTGACCAGAAGGGTCAGCTGAACTTTTTTTTTTTTTTTTTTTTAATAGAATAATAGTAATAAAAAAATCAGGGTGACTGCTGAGATACCATATCTCCTTGTACTTGGGGATTGCTAGGTTGTGCTCTAGCCGTGCTGCTTAAACTGAAACAGCGGCCCAGTAAGGGAGGGGACGCTCGGTGGGACTATTTTGAAGTGTTTATCGTCGTGACTGTTCGCATCTCCTCCGGACATGGCAGCAGCTGCTGGCAGCAGCACTGGTGCTTCGCTTCGTTAGGGTCGTAGGGCGGGTCAGGTCGGCGGTACCTCGGTTTTAGGGGCTGAATATTCCTCTGTTCCGCTGCTAATTTTTTATTTTAGAGGCAAATGTAGGTGTTGGAAACGTCTGAGAGGGCCAACCCTCCCCTCTCCTAAAACTGCGGTGGTGGCAGCATCACAATCTTGCCGTTGCGGGTTTCGTGCGTGCACAGGTGGCGAGTGGTTTTGTAGCCGAATTTTAAGACGTGCTTTCCAAAATAGAGCGGCTCGGTACGGAGGCAACGGGTCCGCTCATGTGTGCAGGCGCGGCGCGGGGGGTGGGGAAGGCGCCTGCGTCTCTAGGACGTAATCACTTTGTACGTAAGGTGATAACGGGCATCGTGCTCTTATCTGGGCAGACATGACTTATTGCGCCTGCATGAAAAAACATGCATTTGGGTCAGCACTCTGGTGGAGGGACTAAACTGCCGTTCTCCTGTAAAGAGAATCCCTTTTATTCGCTTTAAAAAGGGATGCGGGGCGCGTCGGGTTAATCCTGTGGCGCTCACCTTGCAAGGATGCGGATCAGCAGAGGCGTCATCACCTCTATTCTAGCAGTTCCCTA